AGACAGAGAGAGAGACAGACAGAGAGAGAGACAGACAGACAGACAGTCATTATTCCAGTCTCAAGTGAACAAAGTGGTTTGATCTTTTGACGTTTGTAATAAATGTGAAACTAAAGCCGTGTCCCAGTCCAGTGGATGCGTCCTCCTCTGGATTGATTACATGATATTTGAATGTAAATGAAGAGGTTAAAGTTTTAACTTGTGTTCTTATAGCGAGTCCTCTTCTCATTATTAATGTGATGATGTAATGCTCTATGTATCTGGACTGTTGAGGACAGAGGACTTATGGCGTGTTCACACCAAACGCAAATTATTCGCGCCACGTTAATCGCGTCATTCGCGCCGCCGGCCTCGCCGGGGACCATTTGTGTTCATTCGCGTGAATCGCGCTGGACGCGCCGGAGAGGGGGCGTGGCTTATCGCCCTGGAAGCCGTTCAACTGTCCGCCATCAACCATGGAAAAAATAACCTCCATTTCTGCTTAGTACGTGTTGTGGAAGTCACAGATCAGGAAACTAAACGGCGTCATGTCTGGTTCAGAACAGTCCGGAAGAGCTCCGTGGATCTCATGGAGCTGTGTTCACTGTGTCCAGTGAGCCAGACGTCGCTGTTTACTACAGCTGTATGAACACTAAACAAACTGATTTGGCTGTGATTTAACGGCAATAAACCGACAAAAAAGGGACTCCGAAATAACTACGTAATGATACCGATTAGTAAAAAGTCTGAATTCATGTTCTGTTAGTTCTCTCCGCAAGACGACAAGCAAATAACTTTTAAAATACTTGTTTTCTTAATGGAGTCTGGATCGATCAGTGCTAGGCTATGCTAACATTGTAGCAGCTCCACCAACACTCAACATAACGTCACACAGGCGTAAATACGTCAGCGTCTTTTCATTGTTTGTACCATATGGTCTACACACACACACACACACACACACACACATGTATACACACAGTTTGGTCTCTATTGATATGAGGTATCGTAGAGCTCTGGGTGAACACAGGCGGCTACAGGATTTGCTTCCTGATTCAACAACGGCAGGAAGTCAGAATTGACAGGAGAAACATCTCAACGCTGATAGGCTATCACGCCGCAACATCACGCCATTTTTTTTGCCGAAGTTGAAAAATTTCAACTCACGCGTTTCGGATGTTTTTTCGCCATCGCAAATTCGCGTCACTCCAGTCTCATCGCGCCTGTGCATAGACTTTGTATGTAATCTACTCACGCGAATAATTCGCGCCGCGTTTGGTGTGAACGCACCTTTAGAGGGTTCGTCTCATCATGTATTATTATTGTCCATCCATCCATCCATTTTCCACCGCTTATCCGGGGTCGGGTCGCGGTGGCAGCAGGTCAAGCAGGCTGACCCAGACTTCCCTCTCACCGGCAACATGTTCCAGCTCATTCTGGAGATCCCGAGGCGTTCCCAGGCCAGCTGGGAGATGTAATCTCTCCAGCGTGTTCTGGGTCTTCCCCGGGGTCTCTTCCCAGTTGGACGTGCCTGGAAAACCTCCAGTGGGAGGCGTCCAGGAGGCATCCTAATTAGATGCCCGAACCACCTCAGCTGACTCCTTTCGACGCGAAGGAGTAGCGGCTCTACTCCAAGCTCCCTCCTGATGACCGAGCTCCTTACCCTATCTCTAAGGCTGAGCCCAGCCACCCTACGGAGGAAACTCATTTCGGCCGCTTGTACCCGCGACCTTGTCTTTTCGGTCACGACCCAGAGTTCGTGACCATAGGTGAGGGTAGGAACGTAGACCGAGTGGTAAATTGATAAGGACAGAGGACTCACACAGCCTGAGACGAGCGTCGTCCTCCTCTGTTGGACTTCTTTCCGATGACCGGAGTTCCAAAATGTTCTGGGTTGGTGAGCGGCAGCTGGTCCAAGGTCTGAGGACACGAGACAAGGAGATGAGGAGGTCTGTCTGTCTGACTGACTGACTGACTGACTGACTGACTGACTTACCTCACTCTCTGCAAAGTGTCTCTCTCCCTTCAGACACAGAGACGTCCTACGAAGAGTCTTCTCATCTCCATCATCGAACACTGAAACACAAAGTTCATTAGAGAGACACTTTGTCCTCCATCCTGCCTCCTAGGGACAGGTCCTGTTTCACATGAATATTAAATGAACTCACATTATAGATTCAGATTATTTGAAGTATAACAAGGTTAAATATAGTTTGAAACATCAAAGTGTCTAAATAAAGTTATTCGTGTCTCCTCTCCTCCTATTGTTAGCAGCTGAGCTAGTGTTGGTAACTACTAGCTGTTAGCATTGTGCTAATGCACTCTTAAAGTGTTTCATGGATGATCCTTTAGCATATTTAGCCTCGATAGCCTGGAGTTAAACTGACAGCGGATTGGTCAGACAGCCAAGAGAAGTTGTGACATCACAGGACATCAGCTTATTGAGCGAAACCATTTCTCAGCATCATCACTCCTCCTGACAGCCAATCACTGACCTGAGATCAGTGATGTCATCAGCACATAAATCACACCCAGCAGACCAATCAGAGACTCACCCACGGTGTAGAGGCTGGCGTCTGTCAGCTTACTGATGACGGCCTCGCTGGACAAACCCTCGTTAGTCTTCACCTCCACCGTGGAGCCCACCTGAAGGACACAAGGAGACACACTCAGGTCTCACAACACGTCTTCACAGGACACACACACACACACACACACACACACACACACACACAC